GGACACACGGACGGTCGGACGGACAGACTCAGAACTCACGGACGGTCGGGGACATGTATCCTAACATGTATGATCTATGTACTAAATTTGAATGAAAACTGACAAACATGTCCAAAATACGACATTTTCAAAAAACAAGATGGCTGCCAGTCGGCCATCTTTGATCCAATTGTGAAATAAATCATCATGGACATGTATCCTAACATGTATAATCTATGTACCAAGTTTGAATGAAAACTGACAAAGCATGTCCAAAATACAACATTTTCAAAAAACAAGATGGCTGCCAGTCGGCCATTTTGAATCGAATCGCTAAACCAATGCATGTGCATATGTCCCACATAAAGTACTAGGCACATGCAAAGAATGAACGAATCGGTCCAAGGGATTCTGAGATACGGCTCCGGACGGACACACGGACGCATGAAGACCGTTTTAATAGTCCCCGTTTTCGGACTTCGTCCAACGGGGACTAATTAAATAGCCTGTACCATGTATCACATATGTAGGTCTGTGTCGAAACATTGACAGCTGACTCATATGAACAAATGTTGTTATAACACATAACAGCTAAATGTTCAAAGAACTGTCTGGATAACATGGCATCATTAAATTAACAGATTCCAATTAAGACACATAGCAACACAATCATCTCAGACTTGACATTGAAAAAAAAAAACTAACTGAAATAATCAGTCACTGTATACAATCACACAAAAACATATTTATATTTCACTCAGATAAAAACTAAATACAGGACTGATTGGAACCTTACTAGCCCTAATTTTAAATACAAGTACTGGCCTACATACATGAACACATGCATGGCTTATAAATCTTGTGTATGCTAGCACTCTTCAAGTGAAAACTAATTATTGGAAATGAACAACAATACAACTCCTACATAGGAGGCCGCCATGTTTTGAAGCACGCTATATCTGCCGAAATGTATTAATCCGCCAAGATTCATGACAAATGATAAGAAATAAAAACCAGCCAGCTCATGCTTGATATTGCAATCCAGTCAACCCTCACATTATATCCAGCCATTATAGAGCAAACCAATGCCCTCTGATACACTTAGACCATATCAGATGGGAAACTATTTGAATAGCCGGACTAATTTTGAGAGCAACGGCCCATATATTTCCTATAATTCATAGGCGTGACCCGTACGATGAAAACGAACGTATACAGCGTGATAAAACATAGAGGGCAGCATGCAACCAAATTGCGCATGATTTTAAGAAAAGGCCCGATATATAAACACTATACTAGTATTTGATTTGTACTTACATATTGCTTTAAATCATTAAAATAATATTGTGTAGAATATGTCACGATTCCGCCAATGCAGAATGGGCTAGCAAAGTTAAGTAATGTATATACAAGTCTTGATAAAGTTGACGAAATTATCTTGGAATAGTGAATGTGCCAGTATACCCTCCATAGTGAAGGATTGCTATTCTTTTTAGCACATCTTTCCTGTCAAAAATCAAAATTATTATTATAGAGCAGTTCTGTGTTGTATAACAAAATCAAAGAATCCCATTGACTTGACATTGAATCTAAATCTGGCATTTACATCCTCCCCTACAAACCATGCTAGTTACATACAAATAATACAAAACTCATATTACCTGTTCACGCCTGTAAATTTTGTTAAATACGTTTAGTACGTTTCCCTTCAATATATTGTGGTAAACAACCCAAATCCTCTGCTTCAATCGTTTGCCTGTGCGCTAATTTGACTAACCAGTTGGCCCACCATACAGATAGGTCTGAAAGGTAGTTTGTGTAAGGTCTCATGTAAAATAATCTCTTTTTCTGTAAATCGGGTGGAATTCTGCCACGTGAAGATCCACTGGATATCTGTAAATTATATGATAATTTACCTATAACAATATACTTTTATTTTCGTTTTACCTGTTAGAGAGATCAGTTCAAAATTGTGAAAAATATTAAATATATTTACCGGTGATTGTTCAAATGTGCTTAACTTTTACAAACGTAGGCATATGCCCATGTTTAAATGAAAATGTACTCCTACAGAATATGTCTAGTCTTTGAATTAGCGATAAATATACATACAGCATATGTTGTCGATTACTGTTCGAGACTTTGTTCAAATCAATGCGCATACGGGGTAAGTTCTCATTCATTGTTGTCTGTCAAGTTATGACCTCATGTCCAAACAATATAATTTACGGTTATGTATTTTATTTTTACTTTATCTAATTATCTGATTTTTTTATTTAAAGTCATCAGATATCAACATAATATTTCGAAATATGCCTTCATGAATGTAGAATGTAATAGTTACACGGTTATAAGGCATAGCATATTGTGCATATGGGATAAATCAATGAATAACTTTATTATTTAACCGGGTGTTTATGTTGATTACCAGTTGATTATGCGGTATAAAAGTGAAAAATGGGGAAAATACCAAATGCCATTGTGAGTAGCACGAATATTGCTGTGACTTACAATTTACAATAAGGGTGCACTAGAAAATATTTAAATATGTCATTCGGAATTATTATTAATATAGTTTATAATAATTTGACTTATAGTGATTTCGATAGAATATTTTAACAATCTCTTATGCTGCCCTCTTGTGAATATATTCATATAATTATTTGACATTTTGGTATTATTATGTATAATAAATATTTTCTATATCGTTATACAGTGATTTTTAATAAATATTTCCCTTTCATTTTTTTATGTTAGCTAAGTTGTGTGTTGAAATACAAAAATTATACAGTTTTTATTCAGTTATTATTCAGTTATGTGATTTAAAGCAGATGGCCCTGATTTTTTAGCCACAAAACGATATCATAAAGTTTTTTTCTCTTTCAAATACATATGTTTGAATCTTTGATATTCTTACAATGAAATGATGTGTGAGAATACAACATTTACTTATATATTTAAGCATATTATTAAGCGCAATCCGGGCGATTCCTTATATGCTACTTGGCCCGTTAGAAATCTCTGAGATAAAAATTTATTTATATTATTACTTAACTGCAATCTCTCAAACAGTGAGTTTATTTTCAGGGAATCTGATATACTAAATGTAGTCAATATTAAGCCATCAATGAGTTTTCACTTTTACCAAACCCGATCAAATGAATTAATTAAATCCACAACAGGACGTTTTCAACGGGTTTGCTTATCACATACATGAAAGACGAAGCTCATTCTGACCCAGCATAGTCAATACAGTAATCCATACGTTTTGCCAAAGGTTTATTGTTCCAAATGTAACAGATGTCAGATTTTACGACTGATATAGAGAGCACATCTCCTGTGTTAGTATTGTTCAACTCTATCTCATTGGATTCCGCTGCTGCTACTGTAGCTCAGCATGTAGTGCACGGTGCTGGGTGCATTCAGATTTCAATACAACAGTTAAACCTTTCAATCTAATGTATGCACGTTACTAGCAGTAGAACTCCTCAAATGTACTTCATAAGTGCTAGCCTA